GACGCTCTCTAACCACAGCACCATGCACGCAGACAACCAACAACACTGAAGAAGAAAGTATCGTAGGGTAGCTTAATATACCAAGACAAGATAGAATTTGTCCCCATTGTAATCTAAAAGAGATCGGAGATGAGTTTCATTACATATTAAAGTGTAGCTCGCTACAAACCGAAAGAAAACTATGCTTAACAGAAAAACACATAAAATTTCAAAATATGATGAGATTTAAAAACATTATGAATAATAATAAACACTGCTTTCGAAGAAAATTGTGCTCCTTTATAAAGAAAATCAATAAAATATGCTCCCTGTCCTAAATTCCCATGCTTCACATTTATAGCAACCTACAATTTTTTGGTTTTTGTTTAGTTTCTTATTCACGCATGCATCTTAGACCTACTGTTGTATATAAAATCACCTATATGTAATCTCTGTATACTATTGTAAAATGATGAAGAGATTCAAATAAATTATTGATTGATTGATTGATTGATTGGAGTGCTACTAGAGTTAAATTAGAACGAGATTTATTTTAGATAAATAACTACAGTGGAGGCTTCAGCGAGAGTAAAGAGCAAGAGCCACTTAGGGCCTCTTTTGGCCCTACATCAGAATTTCCGAAAAAATCAAAATTGTCCAGCTTACGTTGAAAGGTGCAAAGACACGATGTCACGACTCATATATTGTAATAGCATTTCACATGAAAATAAATTAAAAATCAAATCGTATTTAAAAATTATTGAAACTTTAAATTTTAGGATATACATGCCATGCTTTCAATAACAGCCTGTCTGAGACCATTCATGTCCAACTTGCCCTTCTTTGATAATCATAATAATTTTATTATTTCTGCAATAATGGTTTTCACTTAAGTACAGAATTAAGCAGGTGTATTTTATTTTTAATATGCAAATTTCTTGATATATTTTCAAATATCCAATAAAATTAGATGTTTCGAAGAGGTAGCAGATTCGAAACATCTAATTTTAATTAGATTGTCAATGTGGTGTTGACCTTTGACAAAACCTTAACCAAACTTGGTACAAAGCATCATCGAGTGAAGGGGAGATTAAATTATACAAATAAAGGGCCATGTCCTCTTACAAGTAGGGGGAGGGAAATCAAAAAAGACAAAAATTGGGTGGGGTCATTTTAAATCTTTTGAAGAAGAGCCACTGGGCCAGAAAAGCTGAACTGTGGAAGCATCATGGAATAGTGTTGAGTCTAAATTAATAAAACCATGGACCCCTGGGGGTAGGGCCGAGCCACAGTAGAGAATCCAAATTTAACATTGAAATATATTCGTATACATATGAAAAATCTTTATTCGTATATATGAAAACTCATTTAGTCAAAATAAGGTGCCATAAAAAGTTCATGATCTATAGTACAGTGTACCTGAACATGTTTCTATATTAAAATGACAATCCGTTTTTGAACTTTTTAGATGATCTTGCTTATATATTTCTAACGAAGACTTTGATAACCTACTGTCCACTTCCTACCCCAAGTGGTCATGATTTGAACAAATTTAAATTAACTTAAGGATGCTTCCTTAAGGATGCGTGTCTAAAAACGAGGTAAATTAATGATAAACAAGTTGATGAAACAAAAATATCAGCAGTCTCGTTTAAAGTCATCATTTCGTAAGTTTTAAGGTCGATACAATAACCTTGCCAGCAAATTAATTTATCATTAAGTCAAATGCTGACTGATGTTTTTCTTACTAATTGTTAGTCAATTATATATACACTGTTTTGACGATGGATTTTTCCGTTATTTCCCGTTTATGACAAGGAGCACACGACTGTTGTGACCGGTCGGTAGGGGGTGCTCAGTCATCCATGGCAACTGATCCCATCTCTGATGTTTTGGAGGTCCGTGTTTGCCTTCTTCCTATTTTGTATTGTTTTATAAATTTATGATCTTGAATACTGCTCGTTATCTCCCTATGTTTCATTCTATTAAAATGGTTAATTTTTAATTTACGAGTTGTAAATAAATACTAGGCTAATTATTTTTTATGATGCTGATCATCCTTAATTCTCTTGCTTTTGGGCAACAAAGCTTCTATCTTTTTTATACTCTATGGATTCTGGTTTTATACTCAGGTGACCATTCAGGCCATTGGACCTCTTGTCTTTTTAAACACAGACGAAAGATAAAAAATCCCACTTAGGCGAGAGAAATTATATTTTTCGTATTACGGATCCGCCGACCCGATTTTTTTCGATTTCTAAAAAAAAAAAAAAAAAAAAAATCCGGAATTTTCATATCCACCCAAGTTTGGTTTTAAAATTATCTTTATCAAATAAAATCTTCAAAACGTTTGACAATGGCAGCACTGAATGTGTAATTTAAAGCGTCTTATTCACACGGAATATTAACCAACATGGAGACACAATTAAGCCATGCTTGGTTTGTTCATCTGTGTTATTCTGAAGATATTTGGAAATCAAAAGCATCTTCAGCATTCAGAAATGTCCTAATTTATTTGAGCCCTACACTCTAAATGAGGGTATTGGCCACTTACTTGCATTGCATTTCAACTAGGCCACATTAAAGAGAGTTTTGTCGATAGTATTTTAGAAAAGTATGTAGTAACTAAGTAAGGCTTCCATCATAATGAGTCCCACTTATGCACAGTCTTCAATTAATCTCTTTATTCTCTTTGGGTTTAGTATGATGGAATTTTGATATGAAGACCAGATTATTTAAGTTGTTAGGCATGTTTACTGCATAAACATTTAACCTAGAACTTTTGAATAATAGTAAGCCTTACTTGATCACCCTGCCGTTTTTACATGTAATTGAAATAATACATATTGTTCATTTTAGTCCTTTAAACATGGGTGAATTTTTTTTATCATTGTATGGGTACTCCTTTTTTGAAAATCATATTCTTTTTTTAAGATGATCCTTTCCGTTTTCAAAAATAGCTAGTTTCTTGCATGGTTCAATTTGGGATTTATTCTGTTCATACCCTAGGGCTTTCAAGGAGATTACAAACAGGCAATACTTTTACTAAACATTGGAGGTACAGTACTTAGTGAAAGTGATTTAATCTAAATATTAAATATCTTATCAAATTTGTCTGCAGCAAATAGTTTGGTCGGTACAATTGTAATTTCAGCCTGGTAAAAAGTACCAGGTATTGGCAGAATTTAAAAGGCCTACCTGATATCCTTCATTTTGTGTCTTCAAAAGTAATTTTCATCACAAGCTTCATAGCTAGTATTTTACTTGGATGATAATCAGACCCTAAAGACTAATGATTTTTGAGAAATGTACATATTCAGTACTGGAAAGTGTTAATAGCTAAATTTACATTATAGTCTGAGTATCTGAAAAATTTGACCATTTGTATATTGTCATGTCAAAGAAATTGACACTGGTATGTGATATTTTTTTTAATAAGTCAATCTTTAATGTGTATGATGAGTTCCATGTGCCAACCAGCAACACAAGTTGCAACAAATGGCAAAAGACATAAAGGTTTGATAAAATTTTAATTGAATAATAAAATATATCTGTCTCTCTCTCTCTCTCCCCCCCCCCTTTTTTTCCTCCTCCTACCCAATTTTTTTGAAAAAAATCCATAAAACTAAAAATTAAATTTCTCTCGCCTTAGCTGTGTATTTTCTTTTAACTGATAGAGTAATTCACGAAATAAAATTTCAAAGGCTACATTTTTTTCACAATTTATTGAAAAAAAAAAATATATATATATATACTTTTTTTTATATAAAAGATTCTTATTCAAGGCAATGTTACATCCAACAAATTATTATAGAATATCTGATGTGTAGAAAGGAATTCTATATGAATTTTCTTTTTCAGAAACATCAAGTTTTAGTAGCTATTGTTCTTTAGAAGTCAGCACTTTTTTTTTAATTTTAGAGAAGATTATTTTCATTTTTAGAAACAATAATGTATGTCAATATGTTTTCAGAATGTGTGGGAATGTGGGGGGGGGGGGGGGGGGGGGGGGGGGATTTCGTTCCTGGAGAAGTGTGAAGTAATAATGTGTAAATTAACTTTTACATTTCATGGTTGCCATGAATTCTTGGGTCTCTCGATACCTCGGAAACGACGGAATTTGAACCCCCATGTAAATTAAAGATTTCACTGTATATATAAATCCCGTTTTCGAAGGGATGCTTTGTGGTGTCTACGTTGATGTTTGATTTGTTAGAGTTACAGCTCTTGTCATATTCGTCATGGTTCAGTTTTAATTATTAGTGGTCTATGTTTGCTCTGCTCCACAACTTGTATTGTTTAATGAACCTTTGAGCTTGAATAATGTTCGCTTTCTCCATATATTTCATTCTTTATATGAAATTGATGTCCGAGAGAGTAATGATGTTCTTCAGCATACTGAAAGTATTTTAAGCATTAAGTTGGCATAACCTTTGAAATATTAAAAGTATTGATACATTTTAACAAGTGTTTTTCAACCAGATATTTTAAGGTTTTGTCTCATGGGATATATTCATTTGAATATAAACAATTCTGGGAGATTTTACAAATAAAATATTTCATAGACGTAATTCCAAGGCTGAATTTGATCATTTTCTATTAAGATAAAAATAATACAAGAGTCGCAAACTTTCTAACTGTGATCAACATCTTATTTCAATAAAATCAAATATACTTGTAGAGGAGATTGAACGAGGCCCAATGATAAAGGCAACCTTTTTATGGAAAACCTGTAGATTACTTATATGATAAACCATCACAAAATCAGAGTACTGAATGTACTGATAGGCGGAAGCATGATTGCAAGTTCTCATGTGCAAAACTTGAATGACACATATTTGAAGCATAATATCTGTCTTAAGGGGGAGGGGGGTAATAAATATTTTGAAGGATTGTAGTATTGAAACCAAAGAACAAGAATAAACAATATGTCTCCCTTTTGAAGCAGAGATACGAGAATAGGTGAAGCCAATAGCAATATGAACATTTTTTTAAACATTTATTTTTGTAAAGTATAGCAAGATAAAATTGAAATGCAAGTTGTAATTATACATTAAATTTGTAAGATACGGTTTTTGGGAACAAGAAATGGATAATTATAAAATTTCACACAAAAATGAGTACTAATGAGTAATAGAAAACAATAAATATCACAACTGCTTTTTAGGGAGAGGGCTAAAATAGGCTTTGCCTGCTGCCCAATCCCATTCACTTATGTGAATAAAATTTTGTATAAATAAAAACTGCTTTTGATTTTTTCTGTATATTAAGTTGCCTTAGTACCGATGAAACAAAGTCTTGTTAAGCTGCAAATCAAATAAGGATGCAACATACATAGAAGACCTTACAAAGATTTACAATGTGCTTGTGGTTCTATAAATTGTCTTGATTCAATACACGTATGACTCAGGTAGAACAAATCACGTCTCTAATGCTGATGACAGGTGAGCCCTGTGTCATGATGTCCATAATAAATGGATTTTTTTTTTCAGGAGAGCTCCTATCATGGCAGACCCTTGAACGCCATACAATATTTTTTTTTATTCCTGTGGCCAATTTGTCTTTCGGGATTGTAAAAAATTGGTACATGCATCCTAATATCAGTAGTGTTTTCTTTTCTGGAGATTGTCTTCACCATTCTTCTGACAACTGTCTCTTGTTAGAATTTTCTACAAAGTGTATAAGTGAAAAAAAATAAAGAATGTCTCATAATTTTATTTGGCAAATATTCCTTTACAATTTATCCGACTTTCAATAAATGAAACCAAGGACTTCAAATAACCCTTTATGATGTATTTAATATATTTTCGAGGGATGTCAACTTAACCGGATACTCGATCCAACGTCCAAGTATTGAATACTAAAAATAGATACTCAGTTACTCGGATGTATATTAAATAATTTCTTATTTCAAAGTAAATACTTTTATCAAAACTTATCAATATTAACTTAAATATGCAAAAGGTAATTAGCATGTTTTCATCTACATCTAGCTGTAAAACACCCGTTATCGCCTCTACATGTAGCTGTGAATATGCAGTAATTACTGACCAATTAGCAGGCACAGAGTCGTTCTCAACTATTGTGGCCCTTAATTTTTGAATGGGTGACTTCAACGATTGTTTTCAGTAAACATCATAATGATTGGAGTATTTGCAGTACACAGCAGTGAAATATGACATGCATAGAAATGCCGCTACCCACTTCAACGGTGAAGAAATATATATTTAGAAATAACAAGATTCAAAACTGTTAAAAGTCAATTTGCTTATTAAGTTTAGTGTATACTAGTATACTGGATACGACCAATAAATGAATTATTATAAGACTGAGCATGCAATCCGTTCAACATCCATTCCTTCTCTTTCGCTAGTTTAATAAACAAACCTGCACAACAATTTGTCATCCTTTTGCGTTGATCAAATAGATCCAGAACCTTTTGTAATTTTGGGTGTATTAATTGTGCATTAAATTTATTGTTTTTTATTTGATAAATAAATTAAGTACTGAAAAATAATTTCCAATCGAATTATTGTTTATTTGTACATGTTTGTGGGTTAACAGAGATTAACTAGGCTCAAGAACAAACTTTTGTCTACATTTTACCGTCAGTAACCGAGTATTCAATCGGGGAAAAGTCCGAATAACCGATTATTAACTATCAAATAATTTGACCGATTGACTTCCCCAAATATTTTCCTGTATTTCTCTCTTTCTCTCTCTCAAAAGCATACTATTGTTCGTAATCATGCATTTGCAAGAAAGCAGATTAATTGTATATAAGAAATACAAGATATGGACTGATAAAAGATAAAAGTTACTTTGGTGTGTTTGAAAAATTGAAAAGAAAAAATAAGTCAATTTAATAACAAAAATACAAAATGTCAAATTATACTTACAAAAAAATATTCGGTTCATTTTTGCCATTATAACAAGAACATTTGTCATGCTATCAAATATATATGTATCATCATAACTTATTACAGATTTTTACCACTTGAAATATAATAAATTGATTTAAATATACATGTACTCACCTTCAGAATCATGAGAATAGTGTATCTGACTGCGGTTGTGCTGAGTAGAGATGACACAGAGCGAAATTTCTACATATTCACCATGCAATGTTAATTATCCCGCTGTCTGTTAGCTAACTCCGTAGGGACACATTTATACCGACTAAAATAGTTCTTATATGCTTGTGTCTTTGAGACTGTCCAATTTTCATAGCTTTGGTCCATCCTTCAACATATTTACATTAAATGAAAAGGATATATAAATGTATAACAGACTAGGCATGATAATTCCTCAAATAATTTTTCCCAGGCATGCATAAAATTATACACAGATACAGTACCAGTTCGTTCGATCAAGACCGACCAAAACAGGTATCATGTTACGATATCTAATTAAAGCATGTCTGCATAGGGAGGCGACATTTTCAAGTTAAAACAATAAAGATAAAGGTTACAATGAAAGATAAGCTAATCAGACAACGTGAGTAACCTTGCTAATGTTGAAGGGAAGCCTGTCACTTCCATTGTAAATCATTTGTACTCCATGTGGGTTTGTTTACAATAATTTCAAGCTGAATCGTCTCATGTTAGATTATTACGCGAAAGTAGTACATGAGTATAAATAAACAATTGATAAAAGGAACTACATACCTCTTTTCTTCTATTTTCCAATAGATTATTTAAAAAGATTAGTTTATCAGTAGCAGTTTACCTGTCATTAAATCTTAAAATTTAATATAATTTATACCTACTTGAACTATTTTGTCCCTCGTAATATTTCTGAACATCGCTTCAGGACTCCGTGATATTGAACCCCATTTGTTTTTGTTTTAAACATACAGAGTTGTCGTTAGTTTCTCTCTCAAACGTGAAACGTATCAGGAGTACTTAAGTAAATATTAGTTAGTTATTAGGGTATTATTTTTGACTTTTTAATTACATTAATCAAAATAAATGATTAAAATAAATTCAGTCATAACACACGCTTTTGATATGATAATAACGATAAAGATTGGGAAAAGTGTCGAATAATGATTAGGCGGCTTCCGCCTAATTAGATGTAAACATTAGAAAACTTGTAAAATTGTGGTTGTCTGTTCCACAACTTAGAACCAATACTCATTTTGCGAGTGGGGTGACAACAGGTGTTTATTTGGGCCCCGCTTGGCGGGCGCCCTATAGTGATCAGTCTGTCCGTCCGGCTGTCCGTCCGTCCGTCCGTCCGTCCGAGATCTCTTGTCCGGAGCGTATCTTCTCTCTCCTTGACCCAATCTGCCTCATACTTCACCCACAGAGTGCCTTTGGGTAACCGGTGTGCAGTGACCTTGAACCAGGTTTCTAGGTCAAAGGTCAAGGTCATAGAATTTTATGAAAAAACCTTGTCCGGAGCATATCTTCTCTCTCCTTGGCCCAATCTGGCTCATACTTCAACCACAGAGTGCCTTTGGGTAACCAATGTGCAGTGACCTTGAACCAGGTTTCTAGGTCAAAGGTCAAGGTCATAGCAGAATTTAATGAAAAATCCTTGTCCGGAGCGTATCTTCTCTTTCCTTGGCCCAATCTGGCTCATACTTCACCCACAGAGTGCCTTTAGGTAACCGATGTGCAGTGACCTTGAACCAGGTTTCTAGGTCAAAGGTCAAGGTCATAGCAGAATTTAATGAAAAACCCTTGTCCGGGGCGTATCTTCTCTCTCCTTGGCCCAATCTGACTCATACTTCACCCACAGAGTGCCTTTGGGTAACCGGTGTGTAATGACCTTGAACCAGATTTCTTGGTCAAGGTCATAGCAGAATTTTATGAAAAACCCTTGTCAGGAGCGTATCTTCTCTCTCCTTGGCCCAATCTGGTTCATACTTCACCCACGGGGTCCCTTTGGGTAACCGGTGTGCAGTGACCTTGAACCAGGTTTCTAGGTCGAAGGTCAGGGTCATAGCAGAATTTTATGAAAAATCCTTGTCAGGAGCATATTTTCTCTCTCCTTGGCCCAATTTGGATATTACTTTACTCACAGAGTTCTACTAGTCAATGGATGTGCAGTGAGCTTGGTCGAAGTTTCTAGGGCATGGTCAGAATTAGCCTCTCTGTTTAAAATCTTTGTTTGGTGCATACTTTTTTCTCTTTAATAGCACCGATCGATAACTCCTGAGTGTGCTAAATATAACTCTATCCCAAAATGCATTGCGCGCGACGCCATACTTTCGGACAATAACAATGGAGGTGTCTGAGGCGTACAATGTATCAGCAGTGAATATTAGCGAAAAACACGAACGCAGAGGTGCAACTAAGCATTGTGCTTATGGTCTTTGTAAAAGTGACTCTAGATATATGGATAGACAAGGTATGGAAGGCGTTTTCTTTATTCGCTTTCCACAATTTCATCGTGAACCGGAGAAGTGTACTCGATGGGCCAATGCATGTCGACGAGAGAACTTTACTGCTTTGTCGGTAAAGAAGGACACATATATATATGTAGTTTGCATTTTAAGGGGGGTAGAGGCCCCACGGAAGAATATCTTGATCCAATTCCGGCAACAGCTACCAAATATGAGGTAAACACAGCATGTGAAAACTTTTTAGACGGAGGCTTAGCCTCCGCTCTATTGGTACCGCTCATCTGAGGCGGAAGGGAATTTGCGATCGCCATCTAGCGGCAAATCACGTTAACTTTGATTAGCCTGGTCCCCAGGCTCATACTTTCCAAGGCAGGAGTACAGGAAGCAAAACAGGGACAGGGAACCAGGCTAAATTTTGATAAACTGGCCTGCCTGTCTGATATCAGATATGCGCTGTATACAGACAGGTGATCAGTGATGTATAGAGTCTGCTGCTGACACGCTCATTGGCTGATAAAAACTCTCGCTGACACAGAATTTAAATTGTCGGGGAAACCAAAACAGATCACCGAGTGCAGTTCTCTGCATCTGATTTTGATGCAATTAATCTAATTCGGTCACAATATTTTCCAAAAACAATACATAATTCTTTTTTTTTCCTCATGTACCTATAATTATCTGACCTCGCCTGAGGGCTTTTAAATTAGTTTGCGAAGGTCCTATCACATTAATACCCTACATTACCTAGGTAAAAGAAATCTGCATCATTGTTTAATTGAAACTGACATATTTTAAATGTTCACTCACTGACTCAGCAGAGAGCTGCGTCTTATCTGTTTATAGCACAGGTACAGAATCTCTGCTGCATCTATTTTTAGAATTCCTTATCACATATTTCAGAAGATTTTGCAAACTATTTAGATGGGACAAACTGACCCACATGTTTCTATGTTTACATGACCAAAACAGAGGCTTGAATCTTACTTTGTGGTGTAAATTAATTAAGTAATATTATGGCTAATCTGTGCAAAAAAAGGATGCATTAAAACACTGTTGTCATGGAATCTGCAATAGTGACTCAAAGTATGCCCACAAAAAATATATGCAAGGAGTTAAATTTATTAGGTTTCCCAAACCTTGGAGAGATATTGAAAAAGTGTCAAAGATGGGTGAATGCTTGTAAGCGGTTCATTGGTGGATCCAAAGGAGGGTAGGTTCCGGGGTTGGAAGCCCCCTTTATTTTTTGTCAAGTGGAGAGAGAGAGAGAAAGAGAGAGAAAAAACATTTTCCGAGAATAAATTAAAATACATGTATTTGTACGTCTAACTTATGTATTAAATAGATAGATTCTCACACATTAAGTTTCTTCCACCCACTATTCCCTTTTATATGAAAGAATATAGAGTATACAGTACAACCCTGGAACTCCCCTTTCAAAAATGGCTGGATCCACCTCTGAAACGGGAAGGATTTTCCACGAAATTGGGTATTATCCGTAAAATCACATATAATACTGGATATTAGGGTATCGTTGAATCCATGAGATCTAGTATTAAGGCGTTGTAATCACTTTATTAAACTTAAACAATGGGATGGCACATTTTGCGGTACGTGTCAACTTTCACCTGGATGCAAATGTTTTCTTAAGGTATCACCAATCAAGTAAGAATTTGGAAGTCAGGATTAATGCACACTGGAAAATAAAAGCTATAGAGCTTAGTACATTTCATGATCTGGACCAAACAGGCGTTTGTTCTGCTTAATATTTTTCATGTTTGAAATATTTGCATCCTCTTCATGTTCATTACCCAACACAACAGAATTGTTAATCAAAAGTTGAATGTGCATGTTTTGATCTATGCATTGATATATCTGAATGCTTGTATCTCAGCTCCTTTTAGTCCTGAAGAGTTAGATATACTAAAGTACTTTTGGTTTTCTCACATTTCAGGAAGCTCTTACCATGAGTCACTAAAGAATTCAAATTAATATAGTTTATTGCAATTAGAGTGGTTTGTCCTTTTGATGAAAAATGGGAATTCAGTAAATTACATAATTAAACATTAGACCACGATAAATAAATGAAGAAGATGTATTTGTGATACACTCTGGCCCCCCGTGTGGCAATATAGCGAAGATGCAAATTTAATATATTGGTACCAAAAGTATGGTATTCTTACTGGAAATACAATTGTGAAATATGAAAGTAGGCTAAGGCTTAAGTTAATCCATAAGTACGGAAATCTCCAAGGTAAAGGTCAAAAGGTCATGATTGTTGGTATGCTATGAAAGGTCTTCCCACAAAGAATACATATGTGAAGTATGAAGCCCTAACCCTTCAAAAGTTATGAAAAATGATATTTTTTTTAAAGTAGGCCAAACTCCAAAGTCAAATGTCCTGCAATAAAATGAAAGGTCTTGTCATAAGGATTAAATATATAAAGTATGAAAGCACTAACCCAAAACCTTTTTAAGTTATGGTCAAGATTTGCTTTATAAAAGTAGGTCAAACTCCAAGGTCAAAAGGTCAAAGTTCTGGGTCTTCTTACAGGGATTACATATGTACGTATAAAAAGCACTATTTATCCCTTACCATTCAAAACTTATGGCCAAGGTTAAAGTTTTTTCATAAGTATGGAATCTCGTAGGTCAAGGTCAAAAGGTCAAGCTTCTTAATATCTAATGAAAGGTCTTTCCACAAAAATACAAATATGAAGTATAAATGTCCTGGTATCTAATGTTCAAAAGATATGACCAACTACCCTTAGGCAAATGTTGGGGTCAGAATATGAATAAAAAATTCCCAAAGAGATAAACAATCATGTTCATTCCAAGCCTCCGTCTATCAGTACTTTCAGTACTTTGATTTATAACGCCGCCAGTCAATGTTTATCATTATTATTGTATTGTGTCTAAAACATCACACCAAGATAAAGGGTAGATAGATGCAAATTTACCAACAATTTTTGTGAACCATGTACTACAATAATTCAATTCTCCCCCGCACAAGTCATAATTTAAAAGCGGGGATTAGAATCAGAGGAATCTCGGATTAGGCCTAGTTCAATAGTTGGTATATACAACCATGTTACAATACTTACAAACATACATACATGTAAAGTCAAATACTAAAGTAGATACAGTCTTTAATCTGTCATATAATATAAGGGTTGAAATATGTGCTAGGCTTATATTAAAATGACATATTACTGTTATGTAAAGTGTAGAATTTTATCAAATTTAAACACAAATCGCTCTTGACAGAGTTGTTGACAATACAAGTAACATTATAAATTCTAATTCAAAAAAAATGTGTGTGCATGCATTTAATGTCTGCCTCATAGAATCTACATTGTCTTGTGTAACAGGAAGGGAGAAAATGCATAATCCACGGCCCTAACCATTACACTTGTAAAATTCCCAATATCAAAAGTAAATAAAAGTAAATAAGTACAGTAGTGGGTTTATAGTGTCAAAAATTTTTATTCATTTGATATCATAATACTATTATGCCATATTATAAAAAAAATCTAGAAAATGTATATTCTTATTGATATATTTGTTTTTAGCTTCAAAAATTTGTCAGAAGCAGAAAGAGGCCGTTAGTTCGAAAAAATTTGACATGGTCCCCAGAACCCAAACGCAAGAAGAGTGATTTAGGGAATATAGACATTGCTCAGACAGAAGCTGCTAGTGCAACATCTACTGAGGATCATCCCATTGCTAAATTAAATCTTGATACAGTCCAGGCAGCAGAGGCCTTATTAATGCTGCAGAATTCTGAAAGTGAAGAAGTGAGTTAAATTTTGAGGGTTTTTACTTTTTAGAAATTTTCTAGATTCATATCAACAGACTTTTGCTATCTCTCTGTCCCTGAGGTATACAAATTTTAAAGGTGTGTCTGGTTAAAATGTGTACTGGGTCTTTCATCTAAATATATTAAGTTATTATATATTATATAAATATTGCATTTAGTTGAGTTTGATATTGAAAAATTTCACCCCAAGAAAACCAATGTCAGCGGAGCCCCAGCCAAGGTTGACAGTGGTTTGCGCCTCTGTTGACAATGGTTTCCTAGCCTAGGTGAAATTTTTCAATGTTACACTCATCTACATGCAATATATATTATACACATACTGAATGTTCTAACAGTAAACTGGGTGCACATAAATTCTGCGCAGTCTTTATTTTTCGGAATAACACCTCGTCAAGCAATGTTGACTGTTGCTGTGCTAGAAGACATGGCTTCATTATTCAGCGTGTACTAGCATTTTTTTTTTAAAGTTTCTCGACAAATCAGAATCAACCCGAATCAACTAATTTGCCTGAAAGTGTAATATAAATAAATATCGTACTTTCATGTAAATTACTTGAATTCGTTGAGAAACAATTGTTAAAAAACACTATTGCCCGCTGAATAATAACACCACACCCTCCTGTGTAGCAACAGTTAAAAAAAATAGTGACTGCACAGAATTCATGCGCGCACGATTCACTGTTATATACGTATTTGTATAAAACATTCAGTATAATATAATTAATATAGCATGTAGTTGAGTGTAACATTGAAAATTTTCACCCCTGGAAAACCACTGTCAACCTCGGCTGCACCTCAGTTGACAATGGTTTTCTTGAAGTGAAATTTTCAATGTTACACTCAACTACTTGCAATGTTTATATAATACAAAATTATTTTTAGCTCACCTGAGCCGAAGGCTCAAGTGAGCTTTTCTGATCAAAATTTGTCCGTCGTCTGTCGTTGTCGTTGTTGGCGTTGTCGTAAACTTTTCACATTTTCGTCTTCTTCTCAAGAACCACTGGGCCAATTTCAACCAAACTTGGCACAAAGTATCCCTGGGTGAAGGGGATTCAAGATTGTTCAAATGAAGGGCCACGCCCTCTTCCAAGGGGAGATAATTATGAATTAGTGAAAAATTATTAGCATTTTTAAAAAATCTTCTTCTCAAGAACCACTGGGCCAGGAAAGATGAAACTCATGTGGAATCATCCTCAGGTAGTGTAGATTCAAATTTGTTCAAATCATGACCCCCGGGGCTAGGGTGGGGCCAAAATGGCCGACCAAAGTTTTACATAGGAATATATAGGAAAAATCTTTAAAAATCTTCTTCTCAAGAACCACTGGGCCAGGAAAGATGAAACTCATGTGGAATCATCTTCAGGTATTGTAGATTCAAGTTTGTTTAAATCATGACCCCCGGGGCTAGGGTGGGGCCAAAATGGCTGACCAAAGTTTTACATAGGAATATATAGGAAAATCTTTTAAAATCTTCTTCTCAAGAACCTTTGGGCCAGGAAAGACAAATCTTATGTGGAATCATCCTCAGTTAGTGAAGATTCAAACTTGTTCAAATCATGACCTCTGGGGCTAGTTTTGGGCCCAAAATGGCTGACCAAATTTGTACATAAGTATATATAGGGAAACCTTTTAAAATCTTCTTTTCAAGTACTTCAAAGCCATGATTAGTGATATTTTTCTATTTACATGGAATCATCCTCAGGTAGTGTAGATTGTACATTGTTCAAATCATGACACCCAGGAGGGTTAAAATTCAAGCCCCCCCCCCCCCCCCCGGTTAACTTTCAGTTTTGATCTGATATGTGCTTTTTCCTAGTAGATGTGCTCAGGTGAGCGATGTGGCCCTTGGGCCTCTTGTTATAATAACAATACTATTTCATTTTTTTGTTAAAAATTGAAATACTTTAATTAAATTAAAACTCCTTGCTGCTTCATTACACAATATAATAATAAGTTCACAGTTGGTTGCAAATTGCAGTAGTTGTGAAAAAATATGCAGATGATGCAGTTTTTTCTACAATGCCTGCAACAGATTTGCCTAGTATATGATTCAACAATGAAATCATGTAGCATTCAATTAATCTTGATCAGGTAGGTTTATTTTAAATGCAAGGTCATTCATCTCAGTTCTATTTTTTATGTAAAAATTTTCAGTGGTTGACACTTATTAAGTACTGATGTGTTCTAAAGATGTTTGACTTTGAAGGAGTAAGACTCAAAATGTATTTTATTTTGCAGGTAAACATTGTTTCTGATGGACGGAAAGGACTAGATATCCAAGATCCAAATTCCATGTTAAAGAATTCATGTGATGAAGAAACCCAGACATCATCTTGTTGCTTAACCTTGAATGAATTTTTGGCATTAAAATTAGAAAATTTTGATTTAAAAAGCAAGATTTTTGAACTTGAAAAAAAAAGTACACAGTCAAAATCATTTTCCATTGCTGATGTGAAAGATGATGACAAGAAAATGATATTTTACACGGGTTTAACTTATGGGCAATTTATGTGTTTGTGGAAATTTCTTGGACCAGCCACAAGAAATCTTTCTAGAATAAATAATATGAGGAAATTTGAGCTTACTCCATCTAAGTCAAGAGGACCAAAGAGAAAATTGTCACCAGAAGATGAACTTTTCCTCACACTGGTTAGACTTCGTCTCGGATTATTGCATACTGACTTAGCCTATCGTTTTGGTGTTTCAGTTAGTACTGTCAATGAAATAACTTCAACATGGATACAGTTCTTATATTTACAGTTTAACAGACTACGAAATGCTATGTTTCCATCTAGAAAAATAATTAGCAAGCATTTACCAAAGTCCTTCAGAAAATATAAAAAAGTACGTGTAATATTAGATGCCACTAAGTTTTTTACACAGGTACCTAGAAATTACGAGCAGCAGGGTAATCTTTACTCTTCATATAAGAATCATTGTACTTGCAAAGTTCTGATAGGAATAACACCCTCAGGAGCAATATCATTTGTATCTGATGTGTATGAAGGGTCAATTTCTGATAAGGAAATTTTCAAAAAGAGCAAAATTATGGATAAAATAAATCCTGGTGATCTGGTAATGGTAGATCGGGGATTTAATGTTCGAGACATTTTGTTGCAGAAAGGTGCCGATATTGTAATCCCACCATTTTTGGGAAATAGAACTAATTTGTCACCACAAGAAGAGGCCCAGACACGTGTTATTGCAAAATTACGAATTCATGTTGAGAGGGTAATTGAACGCATAAAAAAATATAAAATTTGCAAGAAAATTGTACCTTTGAACACACTGTCAACTTTCTCCCAAACAGTCTTCATTGTTGCATGTTTGGTAAACTTTCAGAAACCAATAGTGAAATAAAGGTGATGAAAACTGTTGTATTTTCAGTGTACATTTTGAAACTGAGTAAATTTTAGCATCAGAAATTAATGAATTTGAATTTTAAACCATTTTTTTGAATTTTCATGATTTACTTGATCTAGTTGGTTTAATCTTTAACTGATCAGAATACCTGTATGCACATATTTACTTATCTGTGAATTTGCAAAATAAAAACAGTACACAAGAATGAACGAAAACTATGTTTTATTATGTACCGATGTAAACTAATACTTAAGCTGTATAATTTCAAGTTCACGAGGTAGTCGCATGAGGAAATATTCTGGAACAAGATATTCTCTATGAAAAGCCTCAAGTTGCGGACACATGTAAGACCACAAGTCATTACTGACAGTTATTCTCTCCACTGACATACCCTTTGGAGACCAGACAACAAAGTCACAAACATCTAATTCACATAAAGCTCACTGCATTTGAATTTGATTATAATATTTATGATTTCTTTTGAGTCTCAAATTTCCTTGATTATCTTTAACACAACAAAAATCTTTACATTGCTTTATTGACAAATTGTCTATGAAATTCAAGGGATTGCAATTTCTAAGTACATATGGGCATTTGATCTCAATTAGACCCTTTGTTTCATTTGATTTATCAATGAATATTCCATCAGGACTACATCCGAGAGTAGGGTGTTTAGGGTTCAACCACAAACCTGTTTCCTGCACATTGTAGTTTGGATGTTGTTGTTTGTAATGTGCAAGAGCATCAGATTCATGTTCACGCCCATACAGTAGGGCTGCTGTTACAGGGGAATCTGACCACAGAAGCCTATTGACTAGACTCGTAATACCTGTTCTAACACATTTGATATCTTTTGCATTCGATGCTGTTACCCTGCACCATCTATTTACCTGCCAGTCTTGCGATAATGACTGACCTACTGTGTTATCAACTACAAAGGGGGAACATTTATCAGAACACTTTTCATTTAAATTATCAATGAATTGTTTGCATTGAATCTTTAAAATATCTACACCATAATCATCGATACTGAAATTTTCATAATGAAAATCTAATAAATTTGTCCATCCACATTCTTGTCCATTCATGACTAAATTTGATAGAAATTCATTTTTCTGTTCATTTGATAATTCATTCTCCCTCAGTTTTTCAGGTCTTGGATCAGAGTTCAAGATTTCTTTGACTGAAGTTTTTTGACGTTTAAGATTTTTCTTCATGGACTTGTATTCCTTGTTAAAAATTGTCTCTGGATTCTTATTTTTTCTTCTACCTTTGTTCCACTGTAGTAGTTTGTCTGTGCAGGTAGGCAGGTCAGTCCCAAATTCAATAGTGTAGTCCTCTAATGCAAACAACACAGCAGCAACATGAGAACATCTGCCCATGCCAGAAGCAGAGAAAGTGCACGTACCCTCTAACACTGATCCAGATGATTCGGATAATGTTACTGTACAATTGTAGGAATGTTTTGAGTAGGAAGCTAACACTGATGCTTTAACAAAATAGTGTCCTTTACAACTGACATCATGCATGTTTTTCACATGACCACTTCTGAAAAGATTCATACCCTTAGTAAATGGTTTGCTAGTATGTACATCATCTTGACAGTCATCATCAGAACTGTTTGAGTCACACTCTATTGATGCTACTGATTCCACAAGATAATAGTAGATATGCCCATGATTAAAATGTTTTGGTATAGAACAGATGGAAACTTCTTCCAACCTTGAATTGGAACATAGGGAACTTGTGATGCAACAGGTGTTGGATTCTTTTTAAGATTCAGCCATTTACCATCGTCAACTTTCAGATCAATTTTAACATTGTTGTTTACAGCATTCTGGCATCTGCATAATAATACGTAAATTATTTAATGGCAAAAAGGTCAAAGTATGTGTTATTGTAGATTGTTTTTGTAGATTTCCATCATTTAATAATTTAATTGCCACAAAACATTACCGAAAAAAATTATTTATATATTTATTTTTTACATAAATGTTTCAATCGCGGTGTCGTGATTTTCGATGTTTACAAATACACATTATCAAAAATTGGGTACCTTTCTATTAAATCTGGCCGTTTTCCAGAAGTAGGAAGCCCACGACATTTCAACCATCTTTTTAATTGAATATTTGTGTGTTCCTCGACCGATGTATGAACAAACTTGGCCCCAGGAATATCCTCTTCTAATAACGAATTGGCCACCATCATAACTATATTTGTCCGAACCGACTGCAGCGCCTCTAGCGGGAGACTAATTTTAATTTATGCGCATAAATTATGACGTAAATTTCTATCGGTGCTATTCCAGTAACTTTATATAACTGGGGATACAAGATAACTTCGATATATATCTGTAAATACGCAATATCCGTGAAGTCCTACTAAATTACTTGTACTGTATTACACAAATGTTCCTCTTCAAAATAAACCTTTTTAAACTACCTTACATTTTCATGTTCATTGTTGAAAGCGGGGCCCTTTGAGATGGCCACCATCTCAATGATATCTAGTTTATATATTGTTGCATCATTCTAAAAAATATGAAAGTATGTACATCAATGGTGAGACACGTCAAGAAATAAAGGAGTTGGACGGACAATGCGTGCAGATTGCCTACGGCTTTAAGTATATAACAGTCATTCAATTAGAGACTTTATTATTAAGAGTCCTCATTATTGAAATTCATGAAAGTTATCCTAGGGAAATTTGTCGCCCGCGTGGCGCAGTGGTTAGAGCGTCTGCTCTAGAGACGCGAAGTAAGGAGTTGCTCCTTAGTTCGAGATCACTGGGGAACGTGGAAACCGGTCCTTCGGATGAGACTGTATGAACCGAGGTCCCGGTTCCCCCCTGCTCAACGGCCCTAAGAGCCGAGTATAGGACGAAATTTGCAGCTCTCCACAGGCAAGTGGTGGCGTCTCCATATTAGTGAGAGATTCTCAAGAGGGACGTTAAACAATTCATCAATCAATTCAAGGGAAAATGTAAACATTTTAGAAAGGCGTTTTAAGTAAAACAAGCTAATTCAGAGAATCTGTGCCCACAGTTTAGGAAAAAAAAGAAGAGCATGCGCGGATGTAGATTGGAGGAGGGGAAGTTCCTCTTGATTGCGTAAATTCATCTGTAAAATCGAGTGATACCCATACAAAGTTGGGTATATAATTTTTGTTTGGACAGTGTTCATGTTGATGGTGAAAGGTTTCCCTCTGAGTGTGTCCGAGTTGGTGACCATCATGATAATGAATATCAGGACATAAGTGTCGATATTGATTCTGAAGAAGAAGAGAATGTTTCTTCTTGAATGAATTCAGTAAATGAAATATGTTTGTCATTCATAAAAAATGTATTACAAGTCTGTGCATTAGGTATGTCAAGTTTTCAGCAACCATGCTAATATGTACAAAAATTAAATGCATTTTCGCGTCTATTTCTATACATGTCCATTCATCACCGGTTTAACATACATTAATTTCATGCGCGGAAGAGATCTTGAAGGCCAAGAGGTCGGGGGGGGGGCGGAGGGGGATTCACAAGTCAGAAGTTTTCCGGACCTTTTTTCACGACTCTGATATTTTACGTTCAAGGAAAACACTAGAACAGTGGTCATTATAAAAAGGGAATAACAAAATAAATAGAAGTTATAAAGCAGTAAGGGGTGGAGGCCGGTCCTTAGGATGAGGCTGTGGTCCCGTGTTGCAGTAGGTACTGGTACGAAAAGGTCTCGTAGTTGTCCGTCAAGTGGTGGCGTCTTCATATGAGTGAAAAATATTTTTCGTGAGTGACGTTAACAATATACAATTAATCTAAAAACCAACAATATAACTCAATTTAAAAGCGAGATAACTAACAACGTCTTATCAGTTTGAGATTCATTTAGGCATATGAAATCATAATCTATGATGTATTCAATAAATTCTGAACAGTTAATCCTACAGGCTAAACCAGGAGCATTAAGAGAAACGATTTTAAGAGAGGATATATCACAGGTTCTGCGCCCAGCATCCTCAAATTCCTAGTAAACTAATTGTCCTGCCTGAATGAAATTTAATGGTGCAGGGTCTTTCACGGGCTCCTCCACTGGGGCGGAACCTCTTTCGGGCCGCTGTCCAGAATGTCATCTGGTTCATACAGTTGACTGTTGGCGTCAAGTTTATCTTTGACCATCTTAAATGTGTTTCCTTGATTGCGGAATTATCTCATCATAGGGTGTACAGCTTTTCTATGATCTTCAACAACAGATGGGAATTGTTGATGTTTTCCATAATATCCAACACAAGATCTGCATCTTTTAGGTCTTATGGCAATTGAGCAGTTAGGAGTCTTTTTCGTGCCAGCATATACTGTGACATGGGACCTCAGTTTACACTGTCTCATTCGAAGGACCAGTCTCCACAATCCACAATTGGACTAGAACCCGTGACGCTCTAACCACTGCGCTACGCGGGCGACGGGGAACGTTACAGAAGATAAGTATCTAGTTTAGTTGAAATAAGGTGGAGAAAAATTGTATTGCAGGACTATAATAAATGTTTTAACAAAATCATCGCAAGGGCTGGGTTCATTTAATCATTTTTCACAAAAATCAAAAGAACATATAGCATCTAGGTAAGGGGGATATATATATCATGGATACCTTATTAGGGGTGGTTAAGTTTTTAAAAATATTAAGTAAACAAAATATGTTGCAGCACTATAATTAAATTTTTAAACAATATCATCCGGGGTAGGGAGGGTCCATTTTAACAAATATTAAAGTGTAAAGCATCTTGATCTTTGGAAGAGGGGGGGGGGAGCGGAGGCATAACATGGATACCTACATATTGGGAAGTTTCCTTTGTATCTAACAGAAACATATCACGTATGCTCTAAGTTCAGTAATATACCTTCCTAGATATGTTATATATCTTTGCATCTAACAGTTGCCTGCAACATGCATAAAATCTGAGAATACTCGCGGAGACATTTTTTTCCTAATGAAAAAATGACAGTATACATGGAGAGGTCAATTGAACTTGTGAAATGTCTTGAGAGCTTGAAATTACGTGCACCTCAAGAATAGAGTCGGTATATTGTAAACAGCGAGGCACCTGTGGAAATTCGGACGTTTATCAAATTAATTCAATAACTCAACGTCCGAGATTACATGTTTAGTTCATACAAACTGTCTCAAGATACGCACAATAAATGAAAAGACGCAAACGCAAGGTAGAACCCGGATTTCCCACGCCGATTAAGCGGAAGTGAG